CACACAAGAAGGCGGAGGACTCCTGTCCAATATGCGTTATAGAATTGTGGAGATAACATGGATGAGGGGCCCAAGAACACGCTTCCCACTTACGTGAGAGGTGCCTATTCGGTGTGTGCGGCGAGTGGTATGGGACGGGTTCAGATGTGGTGCATGCGCTGATGGAGTTTGGTCCACGCTGTCTTGACGCAAATTTCCATGGAGGCGCATGTGACCTAATAGGCTCATGCGGTGGCTGAGTGTACGAGAGCAATGAGGGCAGTTGAGGCGGATGCGATGAGTGTATACTGGTGCTCCAGACGTTGTTTCGCCAGTCTCCGGGCAATGGATTCGTAAGTGGCCGACCAGACCGATGCGTGATACGCATGTGTAGTGGCAGCATGAACGGGATAGTTTGGCAGTTGTTGTGTTGGTGGTGGCGACGGCAGCGATGCTGCTGGGATATTTTTTTAGTGCAGTCGCAAGCAGGGAGTCGTTTCAAGCAAATGAGGTGTACGGCTTAATTAGTCGCATCGGATAGATCCGCTGTGACTTACTTACCGGAATACTTCAGATGGGATTATTGAGAGTCACGTGTGAGTCTCATTACCTGGTCTGGCTAATTGCGCGGGAGGGTGCGGACGCTCTTTTTTGTTTGGAGAGACCAGCTTGGGACCCTTGCGAGTTCTTTCATAGCTACGAACGATCAGTAATCGAGAAGCGTCACCGACAAAGGCAAGAAAACATTGAAGGCCCATTTCATCTGTACGCGACGTAGCCCTTCTTATCGCTGTTGATAGAAGGTGGGACCATGACTGAACGTGCGGAATGCTAAGCTGCATGACCAGCTATACTATCGCTAAAATCTCAAGTCTTTCTACCCAGAATTAGAGAGGGATGGGTTGACTGACGGTGGTAGGTAGACCGGAAGCAGTTGTTTCAGTCTCCTCGTCTTTGATAGCATTACTGTTCAACCTTGCTGTTGAAAGGTAATTTACCTCCTATGTACTTCAGAACTTGTATCCTGAGACATTCTGCTAGTGTCCCTAGACCTCCGCGATTTGGCCGCATAAAATCAAGAGAACCAGTCCGTTGTCTGGCTCGGATAGACCGTTAAGGTAAGTTGACTTGGTTTAAAGTGCGGTGGATCACACAGTGGTTATCCCTGAGGAGAGAGAGAGAGAGCAAATAGAATCACGACAAAAATCTTCACTGCTGCTCCTCTCTCCGACCGCCAACTTCCTCTACAGTCGTCGCAGTTCGAGGAAAATTCTATAGGGATGCTCAGGAACGGTCAATTTTAGGGACATTTGTAGGTCTTTCAATTGTGTCGGATGTAAATCCATGTAGCAAAGAAGAGGATTGCGCGATCAGTGACACGTTGATCTACTCCCTGTCATCACGCGCTACACCAACGCGACCAAGTGGCACAGCCAAGGACTCATACTATCACCACGCCGTGAGACCACCGTGAGTTAAGCGGCGTGGGCCGACGTTGTCACGGGCACTAACCCCCTCCCCGGTCCTTTAGTGCTTGAGTACCAAACGGTTTACATACTGTTGCACTCTCGCAGACCCTGAGGAGTGGCTCCGTCAAGATTCCGAGAACTCAGGCTAGTACACCTACTGTTCCAGTGATCGGACATTTGTCCTTCTTACAACAGGAATCTGGGAATCGTCTGTTCGCCTTCATTGCTTAATTGGTATTTTGCAGATTCGACCATCTCACCCCCCCCCCCACCCGGCTATTGCCTTCTGATAATGCCTGAAAATAGCCAACTACGCCGAATGTGTCTTCTCCTCAGTCAAATCCTCTGATCTATTCCTGAGGACAACATTCATCAGCATAGCTATCAAGTCTTATCCACCACCACCACCACCACCACCACCACCACCACCACCACCACCACCACCACCACCACCACCACCACCACCGTGAAGCTGGACATTGCCATACCGCTGAGATCCGGCTAAAAGTGCATCATAAAGGCTTTATTTATCATTTCGCTCCTCTTGCACTTTATGAGGTACAATTAGGAGTATGATAAAGTGAATTTCAGGGAGCGGAAAACGTTTCCTCAATGGCACTCACAAACCGACATGCCTGAAAACTTCCTGGGATTGTGACATTTTAAAGCGGAAAGTAATCATGCTTCAAAGCGGTAATGAGGTATCGTCCAGGGATACTATCCGTTCACGCCACCTAGTCTACTGGGGCACCTAGAGGTTGTATTAATTTCGCGGTTATTGCCTATGCTGGGATTGCGCTGAATCACAGAACAGATGGATGTTTTTGTGCCTCAGACTGCTGCCCGCGAAAAGCCTGCCGAAGCTGCGAATATGGCGCCTATTCATGCCAGAAGAGCCTACGTAGACAACAAATTATTATCTGCAGGCAGTCAAGCTGTACCGGGAATGTGGATGCAGGGGTTTTGGATCGATGATGCTCAGTCGATCAGAACGGCATTGGTGCCGTTGTGTAGAAACGTGTGCCACACGGACTATCTTGCATGTTTGTCATAGGGGCCACCACGCGATGCAATCATGTTCGTTGCACAGTAAACGTGTGATACTGGCAGAACGAATGGTGATCTGCGGTGCAGTCTACTGGTGTGGAAGATGCTTGCATAACTGCACTACGTCGAAATCATACACATGGGTGAAAAAAATGGTTGACAAAGTCGTTAAGGGCTCTACAGCGAAGTACGAAGGCGCGAACTACTAGGTGTGTTCCTCTGTCATATGCATGCTCATATGAGGGTGATTTCTTCCAATCTGGCTTATTCATGTAGCGAAATACGGGTTTTATCCCTTGCCTTGAAACCCTGTCGTAGATTCTTTGCAGCGGTCGGGCTCATTGTTGAAGAAAAGGCTGGACAGACTGAACTCAGCATTTCCGTCTTATTTGCTGCCTACGGCCAGACAGAGAGCCCGAGTCATGAGTCTAAGTGAAGGGGTTTGTGTAGTAGTTTAGAAACCATCAGAACGCGCTCTCAGACCCTCCACTCTCCCGATCTGAGGTTGAGCTTTGTTCAGCGGACGATGTAAAGAAAGAAGGCCCATTTCAGCGAAAAAGCATGTGGTTTTATTAGCTGCTTTTCATGGTTTTGGCAAAATACGCTGTTTGCAAATCTGAAAATACGCTGTCTCCATAAGATAATGATGACATATTTTTTGGGATCCGAAGTGGCCTTCCCTCTATTCTTTGGTTATGTAAGATCCCAGTCAGTGCGCCTAGGTGCGGGTTTCTCGCTTGCCAGCCAACTGCGCCCTCTCTCGCCTCCGGCCTTCTTTACTCTCTTTGGACACCGAGCCAAGGTAGGGGAAGGAGGAAGTGCGTTAGCTGCATCGCAAGACCATTATCATTTTAAACTAACTCACGCGCAAGTCACCGTCCCCCCTCTCACTCTGCTGGGGACCACACGGTAGGTCAAACTGTCGTCCTGTTACAGTGAATCAGCCGTTCATCACTGATGGGCACTCAGAGCAGGGGGAGGTTGGTAACCTTCTAGGTGGTGTTAGGAGGTTAGGGTCTGTGTGATAAAGTGCATAGGGGCAGGAGAACGCAGAATAGAGTTGGGTAGCGGTAGATGTTTGTAGTCCTCATGCAAGACCTGAACTCGTTTCCATTATGCGGGCTCTCTAATCAGTTGGCGTTGCCCCTTTAATTTTAAATGACATGACCTCTGTACTAGATCGTTCCAAAGACTTGATATGTTTCAAATACTTACTTGTGTTGGTTTAGTGCATCGGGATGAAACTTGGGCTGATTATTGACTTGCACCTTTCAAGCCAGAGGATGTCCCCTAATTCTCTTGCAAATGCATCAGACTTTCTGCCTGATATAGCCTGTTCTGCGGGCAGAGAGACGCAAATATTTTACTCCAACACCATCCGTGTGCACTTAACTCTGGTGAATGAATCCCGCAACTCGTGGAGAGCTTTTTAAGTTGAGAGCCTGAAAATACTCCTCCAAACGCTGCGGATAAGCGTTATTTCAACAGCTCACTAGCCTCGTTTTCCCCAAATCCAATCAGGTAAAGTGATCTGATTTTCCAACTACTGACGTTTAGTGTTCTGATTGCAGTTCGACGGCGTTCTTTCCCAGGAAACACTCCAACTACCCACTCTCAAGAAGTGAATTCTAATCTTATTGGATGCATTCTCTAGCGCCTCTGCAGAACACAGTTTTTGCCCTTTCAGAGAGACAACAAGCCAAGTTGCACTTTTTGTCACAGAAGTACGGAGTGTAGTTTTTGTAGACGGACGGAAAGAAACTCATTCAACAGCCGGCATTCTGACGCGACCGAAGTATCTTGGTATTCCGCTGTATTCTAACTAATATTACAACCCTACTTGTATTATCTTTTAGAATTGAAAACACATTTAAATTTCGGCCAAGATTTCATGGGACAGCACATCTGCTTTAGATATCTCTGAAATTTACAGAACATACAGTGCGTGACCAGTCTCATGAAACGTTGGCTGAAATTCTGAAATGTGTCTTCAATTAGGAATTATTACTTAGGCGTAATTCTATAATATTTCGGACTCTGCAGGATGTCAGCTTTTGAACACCCTGCTTTTCAATCTCTTGCAGAAACCGTACTTGGTAAAAAATGACTGCCCCATTGATTTTCGATGGTCTTGCAAATGCAAATATATTTGTAAAGAAGATGAACGCACGATCTCTGGGTCAGAAAGTGTATTGGTCAGAGCTTTCGGTCACGTACAGGAGGTCAGCGTCAGAGACTGTGAGAATGCGACCTCAAATGAGCAGTTTTTGTAGTCAAGCCATGAAGGGGGGGACATGAGTGCAGAGGGTGGCATTCGCGGTAAGCTGAGTCCCACGCCGTCTGACGGCGGCGGGACAGCGTACACCCTTGGCTGTAAATTGGGTCTCGTCTCTTGACCGCCGGAACGAAGCGCGTGATAGCAGGGGGGTATGTCAACGTGCCTGTTGATAGAGTTGGTGTCAGACAGCCAGGCCTCCAACAGTTCTCGTCCCGTCTTATTGTTGGACCGCGCCACTATCCGTGTGCTCGCGAAGTTGAATTCGTGGCCTTCCTCCGGGGTGAGTGGCGATCTGAGACAACGGGTCGCCTCTCCGGACCGCCCGTTTATGCTCCGTTATTCGTGAGCTAAGTCGTCGTCCGGTCTGTCCTGTGTAGTGGCGAGGGCAGACCGAAATGGGATCTGATAAACGACACCCGATTGTTCTCCCACATCTAGTCGATCCTTCACTCGCATGATTTTGTTGCGCATGGTCGCTGTTGGACGGTGAGCGATACCCCCGCCGAGTTCTCCAGCGATACGTTCCATCGCTTCGGGCACGTTCTTTATACATGGTAGAGGGTGCCAGAGTGTTGGCGGCTCTCCTCCGTTTGTTCGCCGAGGGTGCGCGCGGAGACAGCGACTGACGGAGCTGTTCGGGTATCCATTCCTTGTCAGCTGGTCCCGAAGATGTCGAAGTTCTCGTACTCGTCTCTCTGGCTCACTGCAGTGCGTTTTTACCCTTTGGTAGAGTGCCCTAACACAGCTGCGTTTATGCGCCATTGGGTGGTTACTATGGTAGTTGAGAATCAGAGCCGTGTAAACCGTGTTGTTGAGTTCGCCGTTGGATGTGCGTGTGACGAGAACGTCAAGGAAAGGCAGCTGTTCGGCATGCTCTTCTTCCCTTGTGAACTGAATGCCCGGGAAAATACCATTGAGCAGGTCTTGAAAGTCGGCCAGTCTGCTCCTTTCAATTATAACGAACGTGCCATCTACGCACCGGCGCCAAAATGCAGGTTCATAGTGGTCGAAGGCGATTTTTTCCAACTCCTGCAGGACTAGTTCTGCAACCAGGCTGGATATTGACGTAGAAGGAGTATAAGTGGGTTTTCAAATATTTTCTAATTAAGAGATTCTCTAAGACCGCCCAACGTCTATTTATATAGCATCGTACCTGTCTGTTAACCACTGCTCTTCATGCACTAAACAACGTAGTCTGCATCCACTGCAAAATTGTTTGGACTGTATATGATATCTTTTTAAAGAAATAGAAAAATGTGTGCTTTTTTAAGCGGAGCGCATGCAACGTTGTAGACTGAAATCACTAAGCGCTAATGCAACTACTGTACAGACTCCAAATTTTTCGGCAATTAGGAGACTTTTTACGAATATAAACTATAAAGATGACGTGATTCTCCATCAACTGACTGAAAGAAAACAGATTTGTTTTGAGGGCCCGGTGGGAAGAGGCGTGGACTTCTAAACCAACAGGTCGCGAGTTCGAGGCTCGGGTGTTCCACACTTCCAGCTTGGGTATGGCTGGCGGACGAAGGGTAATAAGCCAGAAATGGCCATTCCAGTCTCCCTTGTCTTTGTCGGTAATACCATTCTGCCTATATTTGAATTTGCAAGACCATCGAAAATCAATGGGAAAAATGCATGATACTTAAGCAGTCATTTTTTACCAAGTACGGTTTCTGCCACACATTGAAAAGCAGCGTATTCAAAAGCTGACGTCCTACAAAATCCGAAATATTATACAATTATGCCGCAAGATAATCAGTGTTACAACCGCGCCTAAGTGATTGTTCCTGAATGAAAATGCATTTCAGAATTTCAGCCAACATTTCATGAGATCGGTCACAGACCGTATCTTCCTTCAGAAGACACTTCTACCCAAAGCATCAGCCCTGCCAGTTAGTAGTTCCCTTCGAAATCGAAGCAAACTGTTGATTTCGGCCCCTTCTGACAATTTAAGCACCTTCTAAGACACTAAATTCAGACTAACTTTCTCGCAAAACCATCATTGTCATAAACATTCTGACCTTTGGTATCCCGTATACCACAAGAAAATGTGCATTAGTGACAGACTGGAAACTCACGAATGCAAGAGAATATGTGCATCCCAGGTTCTTGTTTAATAGAAGACGAAGGCACGATCACTGGGACAGTAGATTTATTTGCCTGAACTTTCGAACTCGAACTAGAGTTCATCATCAGAGACTACTCGAGTGCAGCAAATGGTGAACATTTATATCGCTGTTCCTTGCGGGAGGGGGGGGGAGGGGGGAGTACGTCCGTGGTTAGGTAGGGTTTGTGCCGCCTGGTCCACGATGGTCCCCCGGCGTGGTGACGCCGTTTGGACTTCGCGACGGTGTGAGCTGCGCCACCTGGCTGCGTGGGCGGAGTGCGTGATAACACGCAGGCAAATCGATGTGCCTGTTGATAGAGTTGGAGTCCGATACCCACGCCTCCAACAGTTCTCGCCCCGTGTTGTTGCCGGCTCGCGCCAATATCCGCGTGTTGGCGAAGTCGAACTCATGGCCTTCCTCTAGCGTGTGAGTGGCTACTTGAGATAGTGGGTCGCCTCTCCGAACGGCCCGTTTGTGCTCAATTATTCGTGAGCTGAGACGTCGTCCTGTCTGGCCTGTATAGTGGCAAGGAGAGGTTTGGCACGGGATTTGATAGATTACGTCCGACTGTTCACCTGCGTCCAGCCGATCCTTCATTTTCATGATCCTGCTACGCATGGTGGCCGCCGGATGATGAGCGATGCCCACACCTAACTCTGACGTAATACGTTTTGTAGCCTCGGACACATTCTTTATGTACGGTAGGGAGTGCCAAATTGTCGGTGTCTCTCTTCCGTTTGTCCGGCGTTGGTGCGTGCGTATGAAGTCACTGATAAAACTGTTTGGGTGGCCGTTTTTTGTTGATTGGTCCCGGAGATGCCTTTAGTTCTTGCATCCTTCCTTCGGGCTCGCTACAGTGCGTTTTTACCCGGTCGAAAAGCGCCCTCACACAGCTCCGTTTGTGCACCAATGGGTGGTTGCTATGATAGTTGAGGACCTGGGTTGTATTGGTCGCCTTTCTGTACACTGTAGTGCTGAGTTCACCGTCAGGTGTGCGCGTGACGAGCACGTCCAGGAAGGGTAGTTTCTCGTCCTCCTCGTCTTCTCTTGTAAACTGAATGTCGGCGAATATGCTATTAAGTAAGTCTTGAAAACCGGATAGCTTGTCCTTTTCAATAATGACGAACGTATCGTGGACGACCCACTATCTCAAGTAACAACTCTCACGCTGGAGGAAGGCCATGAGTTCGACTTCGCCAACACGCGGATATTGGCGCGAGCCGGCAACAACACGGGGCGAGAACTGTTGGAGGCGTAGGTATCGGACTCCAACTCTATCAACAGGCACATCGATTTGCCTGCGTGTTATCACGCGCTCCGCCCACGCAGCCAGGTGGCGCAGCTCACACCGTCGCGAAGTACAAACGGCGTCACCACGCCGGGGGACCATCGTGGACCAGGCGGCACAAACCCTACCTAACCACGGACGTACTCCCCCCTCCCCCCCCCCTCCCGCAAGGAACAGCGATATAAATGTTCACCATTTTCTGCACTCGAGCAGTCTCTGATGATGAACTCCAGTTCGAGTCCGAAAGCTCAAGCAAATAAACCTACCGTCCCAGTGATCGTGCCTTCGTCTTCTATGAAAGAAAGGAAACTCCCTGTAGGTGCGCGAAACGTTATATCTAGAGTTTGGCAGTCAAAAAGACTTACCCAAAACTGACATGAAATCGCAAAGGGCCACATTTTCTGCTGATTCACTCTGAAACTGCTCCAGTCAGTCAACTAATTTGCCGAGCCACGTTTAGGCACTCACCACATTTGTCGGCGCCATCAAATCCTGCTGTTTTAAATTTATGCCGGAGAAAAGATGCTTCGAATTCAGACTGACAGATTCATTAGACACTTGCGCCCTCGAATGCTAATGCAAAAACGAGGTGCGCAGAAAAGTTAAATACGGCGGCGAGAGGCAGGCAAGAAGTTCCTTAGTTAAGAATGGCGAAAGGAGGTAAAAAAATCGAAAAACAGTTTAGTCAGGAATGGGGACTTACGTTTAGGACTGTTTAGCAGTCGTTACTGACCACCACACTCTAGGCGGGGTGTAGGACAGGATTTCCTGCACGGCACCCGTGTTTGTTTTTGATAATGTGGATCTGCTAAACAATCATTCCTTCTCGTATGTGGTCTAAGCCTTTTACTACTCTCAACGCTTTTCGAATTTCTCTTCTAACCACCTGGTATCGCTGCTCTACCAAACCCCACCTCTTTGTGTTCGCGCATTCGCAGTTACAAGCGCCCCTGCTTGTTAAAGTCGTCAATTTTAATTAGGAATCTTCTCTCCTCATGAACAGTGGCTTAGTTAAGCCAGTTGACTGAAGTGAAAATGACTAGCCCGAGTCATAGAGTTCGTGACCTATCTGATGAAAGGTCACGAACTATGACCTTAAATCGCTATAGCGCACGCACGAAACGCCCACCCTGCACCCCCGAAAGTTGCACTATGTTAAAGATACGACCGCGCCTCAAAATAAGGCACAGCTTGACTTCTAAAACAATATTTATTGACTAAGAAATAATTTATTTTACGAAAAACAACCTAATCAAAAAACGACTCTATGACAGGTCAACTATTCAAGGCCTAATATAACTGTCAGCAGAGAAGCGGAATGCTATAAAACGACGAGATGATAAAAAATAGTAACAAATACAAAGTATCAGTAATTTGTCGATTGTCCTTTAGCTTTTAAAGTTGCCGTAAGGCGCGAGGGCATGGAGACTACCAAATATATGCCGTCCCAACAACTCAAATACCCATCTCGACATTTCATGAGTTAGGTCATCTACTGAATGAAAATTTAGATTTCGACTTTTAATTAACATGAATTCCGTCGTCGTAAGTCCTTTTGGACGGCTAGTTTCCGCTTAGTTCCCAGTCATTCTAGGACATTTATGGTCCTACCTAAAAAGGGCTGTTAAGTTGTTATGCTACAGATACAACAGGACGCCCAGCACCATCCGTTTGGAGGTCCCGGACAGGAATGTAGACGAGCGCAGGGTGTAGTCCTAGAAAGACCGGACTGCCCGTTCTCCAGGCAGTCACTAATAACAGGAATGGGCGTGCATCGAGCTATTGGCTTCCCGAAGCAGACAAGCTCCGTATGGGTGACAAAGATCACGAAGAAGCGACCGCCTACCAGGCCGAAGTCGGCCAAGTTGGAATTGCAGAGGGAAGGGCGGGAGGGGGGGCGATGACAGAGCCTGGATACAGTGCTGTTTTGGCTTTCACTCAGTCAATCATAACCCTGGCCACCAGCTGGGACCAGGCACACTAACATGTGTTCATACATCGCACAGGTGATCCGCAGCCGGGGTTTAGCAGATGGGTCATGGGCACATCATCGAATCGAGATTAATCACTGAAAGAGGATGACAGATGATGAGACGCCGATGAACTTCGGTTGGAATGGTATGCCTGTGACCCATCTGCTAAACCCCGGCTGCGAACCATCTGCGCCGTGTATGAACGCATGTTAGTGCTTCTGGTCCCAGTGGTGGTCAGGGTCATGGTTGACTGAATGAAGGCGGAATAAGCCCGAAATAGCAATAGTATCAATTTCTTCGCATTCACCGTCGTTTCTCTCCTCGGTTAAAACAATTTTTAGTGCTGTGCGTAGGCATCACTCACAACCCTCTTTAGTGGGCCTCTAGTGAGCTTCAGGCAACGCTTACGGTGATGGCTTCCGCCCTAATGGCACATTTTGAAGATGTCTTACGTACGAGGACGACGTGCTAGTCTGTAATTATATAACGCACTACTGGAAAGCTAGCTGGCCGCGGCCGAGTAAATGTGATAGAGACCTAGCGATTTGGGAATTTGCAGCCAGGTAGACTAGACGTTGATCTGATCTGACTGCAGGGTGGGCCACGCGCGCTTATTTGTTGATCCATTATAATTCGTTGTCACCAGTCCACCTAACAGGCAAAACAGACCCCTATACTCGGATCGGATCTGATAAGTACAAATCCTCTCGCGTTACCTTGACTACTCTCGGCCGCAGCTGACAGGTCGTGAATGCGTGTTCCAACCAGTGGCCCCCATAATTAGTTGCGCTTGGCAAGTACGGATACCAGCCTGGATCATTGCACGAGTTTATCGAGAGGAGCTGAGTTCTCGCAAGTCCATGACTGCTATCGTACGCGCACGTGTGCAATGCCATAGACGTTGGTTTTCCGGCCGCGCCAGTCATTGCGTTCAATCCCATCAATGGTTGGTCGACAGGCTAGGACAGTCGACTAGTTGGTGGGTGAGAGAAGAGTAAGTAAGGTCGACACCGGAGAATCCATCCTCACGACACATCAACGCACTTGGATATATCGAACATATTGGGGAAATTGCATAGTTCACTGCCTTTTTACCATCTGCTCTACTACATCCTAATCACGTATCCACCACTACCCCCATCACTATAGGCTTGACAGGCTGCCGCCTACCCTCCGGCTCAGTTACTCCTGGCGATAGACACATGCTTGCGTATCAAGATGATATCGTGTAATGTTCTCCACGCGTTAGTAAAGTTGACAGTTCGTTATCAGTGCGTGTAGTATGCTCTCATGCATCTCACCACCTCGGCCTACCCAACCATACGCATGAATTCATTCATTCGAGCATGCTTATCAGTGCGCAGAGGCCGCGGTGTCGCAGGCGCGCAGGCGTCAAAAGTCGGCCAAAGGCTGATAAATGACAATACCTTCCAAAAATTAACGCTAAAATCGCTGTAATGCGACTCAATGCACTGAGCAGCACGCCCAACTCTTCTGTTCCCGGATGAGGAAATGCCAAAGAACAAAGAGGCGCGTCAAACTGTGCGAATTACGGGTCAAATCTATGTCCTGGCAACGATATTTTATCAAACATCTTTCGAGGTAGCAGGTGTAACTAACGTTTTCATACACTCTACCGAGTTCTAGTGGTAAGGTGAGGCAAGATGGCTGGACATGAAAGTTTGCATAATGGCTGAACTGATGTAGAGTCCCATTTACATGTGCCATACACGTGCTGGTTCTTTGCTCCGAATGAGCCCCACTTCAAAATCTTAGATATCCCAACTATGAGAGCCTGAATAAGGCCATAATAAGAAGGAGCCACTAGAACCCGAACCTGAATCCAGAGGACCGAGCTAGTCCGTCAGATGTCGGCTATGGTCCCGCTTATTACGAAAGAAGAAGAAGCAGAACAAGAAAGAAAGAAAGATAGATAGATAGAAAAGAAGAAAGAAAGAGAAAAAGAAAGAAACGTAAAAGGAAAACGCAACATGACAAATTCTTCGCACTTTTAGGACTGAATACTTACTGTGGCGCTAAATTTGTGAATAAACTGTTACTCAGAGGCACATCTTTTCAACCATCTCGGGCGGGCATGTGTGTTGCCGACAGCCATTATCGCGATGTCTGGCGCCCTTGGCCAAGGCCCCCTCCGCCTCAAGGTCATTCAACGCTTGCAGAGAGCCGTCCCAGACACACTGACTCGCAGTCGCTCGACCGACGTCGGCTCGGACTAGTGTCCAGACGGTCGCGGCCGCTCGTGGGCCACTTGAACACGCCACCCCTCGACAAATGCAGCGCACGCCGACTGGACACCCCTTGAGCTTGCCCCACTATCCTACAAAGGCAGCTGCCAACACTGTCTCATGGACTCTCGGGCACGGCCTGCCATCGTCAGCACCTATCCTGGCCACGCAAGTGGCCACCGCCGCCTGAGGGACAACTCAGGGCTCCGTGCACAATAAATCCCTCATTCTGGTGACTTCTATCTCTTCCTGCAAGTCGGAATTTGACCTGATAATTGTAGCGATCTAAGCACTCTCAACTTATTCATGGGTTTGTTTCGACCTGTTCCGGGAATTTAGAACTGGACGCACCAGTGACTATCTACTTTTTTATTATCAGAAGACGAGGTGGCGAGCATACGTAACTTTCGATAAATTCTCGTCGGCCAGTACAATTATATGGGAAGGGGATAGAAGTACAAACACATCAGTGATAAGATAAATGGATTAAAGTTCGCCTTAAAACACAGGCTGGGTGTGGGTATGTGGGGGGGGGGGAGAGGGGGGAGGGGGGCAATCGCAGTCAGTGTCAGGGCCAGGGTGAGAGCGGAAGGGCGCGGGAGAGTTGTAGCGTTAGTCGACCTTCGACCACCGTAGGCGCGGAGCCTGAACGTGGTTCTTCTGTGCGCGCAAGATCGGTTTTCGCAACCTGTTAGCGGCCGCCTCTGCTGTTGTTAACAGGCGCTGTCCCAGTGGTTTAGGATAGCTCGATGAGACCTTATAGATCACACGAAACGCTTCATTGGGGTCTACATGATGTTCTGAATCGACAACATGCGCGAGAATGGCGCTGCTTATGCTCCTAGTTTCGCCTCTTCCCAACCACGCCGGGAGGAGTTCCCGT